AGGTATAATATAGGGTTGCATAGAGATCATGGAAAAGAAATTGTCAACTACTATTTAGGGCTTAGTGTTTAGTGAAGGTTCGGGAGTACCTTCAGGATGTGAGAACTCCCCACGAAGGCCCCAAGCATTTGGATCAGGCTAATGAAGAAGCCTCCAAAATGCTTGTATCCCAAGGGATCCTAAGTATCCATATAGTACAGAGTGGGGTTCCTAGTCTAGAAAGGAATAATATGGTTTAGGTCAGTATTCCCTAGATAATGTAGGTACCTAGGATCCTTTGGGTATTGCATTCACTTTGCACCTTTTGGCAGGCCATTGTGGTGGGTACCTAGCTCTGAGGTTGTAGACTTTTCGGTTTTGGTGGGTGTAGAAGCCAGAATAGTTACCAACACTGCAAACAGAGTCTAGAAAGTGAAACCAGAGAAAAAGCGTGGCTTTGTGGGCTTTACTTAGCAGCCGGCTGGATTGTCAAAATCATCTCCTCATGTTGCCCGCATAACTCTAGAAGATCTTAGCCCCAAAGCCCTATTCTCCTCATTTAGGCTCCTGAACAACCTAGACCCTTCACCCTAAACCTTATACAACCATTTGTAGTTGCCCTGCATGTACATCTCGCCATCTCTGAGGACCTTTTCCGGAAAGCTTGCGCTCTTGCAAGCCACCCGGCTTGTGGGTTTAGGGATTCAGGAGTTAGGAGTTTAGGGTTTAGGGGCTGTCCAGTCGGATCTGCGTTAGGTACCGCATAGACAAGGGGCTTTCAGTAGCAAAAGCCATGCAGATCAATGACCCTTGGGCCCCGAAAACAGCATTATTTGGGTACAAAGGCCCTGGGGGTGAGTGAATCGAAGGGCGCAACGTAGATTCTTTGTGCAACCAGAACCCGGAGAGGATCTAGACAGCAGATTCCCAACAAGGCGTGACGGCCATCACCCAATGATTGTGGGGTACCATGCTGGAGGCTCTGCTTTCCAAACCCTAATCCTAAACATTATACACAGCCCTTAAGCGGGCTCTACCTTCTAGATCCTCCGATGGTCTGGGAAAAAATGCAGCGGGCAAAGCACCCCTGCAGCTCGTGCTGACAGTCTGAGAAAGAGAGGTTTGAAAGCGTCCGAGTGGCTTTAGGGTTTAGGGTTCTTGGCGGTAGAGTAAACAAGCTTAGATCTTAAAGTTTCGGGTTCAGGGATATATGACTCTAATAATGGAAAATCAAATGGAAAAGAACATAGAACATCAAATTGAAACTGTAGGTGATACTACATCATTACGAGTTTAGGGTAAAGGGTTTAAGGCTCAAGTTTTGGGCATCAGTGTCTTTCGGCGTAGGGTGGAGAGTTTAGAGTGAAGGCTTCGGGATTTAGGCTTGGTGTGGAGGTCTTAGGGTTGAAACCCCAAACAGTCCATAGTTCCTGCTATGGCTACTTGTGGCTCTAGGGAGAAGTCTGAGACACTATCGATTCGCTACTATGCTCGGTTCAGGATTTAAGGTTTAGGATTTAGGGTTACGGGACGAGAGGTTGAACACTGGTGAGATCTACGGTCGAAATGGAATAGCTAGCAGGATTATGCCCTCACAAGATTGTGATTTGGTCATGGGTTCCTGTACTACTGCATTGTACTACCCACCCTAAGGTGCCGCCTTGAATAGGGTTGCTTAAGGATGACGAGCTGAAGTTAAGACAAGTCTTACAAGGGAGGAATTCAGAGGGGCAAGGGGGGGCCTAGTAGGGAAATTCATGATATAACACAATTACTGCCACAACCCTGTTCTACTTATTCCGGCTGCCGCAGTACTTCTAGGTTCATGGGACTTAGTAGCTACTTATAAGTGACCTTATAACACTGTTTGTAGTTACTAAGTCCAATGAACCTCCAGGTACTTTTCGCGATCCTTTCAGTGGGCGGGGCTGTTTCATACTTTAACTTAGATTACAACCGGCGCAGAGCAAAGCAGCAGGGGACGTGTTCGAAGTGCACCGTGTAAGGCTTACAGCGGAGTGTAGAGTTCGGTTTAGGGCTTACGGTAGAGAGATTAGAATGGGATGAAAGCAAGGAAGCTTGCCATCCGAATCTTCGATTAGGCGCCGGCGACGGAAAGCAACTCAATGAAAGGGGAACTGCTTAGGGTCATAATGCAGAGGCCCCTAAACCCCAAACCCTGAATAACCCGAGGTTGGAGGGAAGAATGTGGAAACCGAATAATTGCCAATATTCGTCCCCATGAGGGTGGATACCTCCTGCATGACCCTAGCCTGATACCTCGGGAATTATGGTGTTATAGTATACAAAGGTCATGACGGACATTTAGCATCCACAGTAGGAATCTTTCCAGGGCTTGGAAGGGTGCTCGGGAGTTCGCGCCCTGGCTGTGAGTCCACACTACTACTGCTCGGTTGTTGGACGCGATGTTTTGTTTTCCTTTCGCTGGAACAGGGCTTAGCGTTTGGATTCTGCACCCAAAAAGAAGCATACAGCTCTATGTAACACTGAAGAGTATCCTAGCAATGAACCGGACCAGCTCTCGATTTCTGCTTTTGCCTGGCAAACAGAGCTCACGGATCCGCTTCAGAAGCTTGCGGTGTCTCGGAATGCAGCAGACCCATCGTCACAGGCTAGCCATTCTACTTGGGGGAGCCCTGGTCTAAACCCTAAAGACCAAGTAGAACCAATCCAGACTGTTTAATGTAGAAGCCGGAATGCTTACCCACATCATTCCATTGCAACCCCTGCATAATGGCTCTAAATAGCCCAATGTAGGTATCATTGATACACTTTAAGACCCAATGTAGGTATTGTTTGTATACTTGGATCCCTAGGGTAAGTAAAAATCCTATAGTCCGCTTGAAAGACTTCATGTGCCCCAAAACTCTGAACTCTGAATTCCCAAGCCCAGATTACACAGCGGTGCACAAAGGCCAAAACGCACCATGTTCGGCCACAAAGCAAAACATACTTCCCCACACGAAACTCACGCACAAATCCGGCATAAACCTTCAACAATTTCTATGGCCCCCAAACCTTAACCCAAGAACCCTGAACCTTCGACCCTGTACCCTGACCCCTATTTTTCATGTGAGTAGTATTTTATTTGGGGATAGTATGGTACCCAATATAGAGTAAGATTATATTCTCCCTTGGGGTATAGTATTTGATATGAGGAATACAATCTTATTAGGTTAACCCCCCCCAAAAAAAGCTACTTATGTGTCTGGGCTCAAGAAGCCATCCTGGCTTCAGCTCCCACGGGAAACGAAGTGAAGCGGTGTGGGCCAGCGAGGCAGGGCTTTCAAACGCTAAGCTGGCATTTGGTTAGCTAGGAATAGAGGAATGAAAAAGAAAATGGAACCTATTATAATGGGTTATACAGGGACTACTAGAAGGATCCCTTCCTTCCTTCGTAGCTAAGCAAAGGCCAGTAGAAAATGGAAAATGAAACGGAGACTATTATTTAAGGCCTAGGATTGAGGACTTGGGGCTCAGGGTTTAAGATTCTGGTAAACGTAATCCCGTAATAGGATTATATAGGGGGTATAGAAAAGCGATTACATACGGTAAGATAGGCTCAGGGTTTAGGATGAGTGAACGTCGCTATCCCAAAACCTGCAAAGTAGATCCCAACCCTGCAAAGTAGGACGCCATTATAGCCATACGATAGGTTTAGGATCTTGATGTCAGAGTTGGGCAAGGTTTACCCAAATTCTCTTATGAAATGCGGTTTGCATTGACACCTTCTCACCAGTCTTTAGTTGGGGATGGGAGGGTGGGATAGTATTAGAGGGACCATCATCTCCAATCCATCATTCCCTACTACGCGCCAGGTAGTTTTTTTCTTCTCCCCAGGCCCCGAACCCTAGTAGCAAGCCTTCAAGCTGCACTGAATCTTGAGGGTCATCCGTTTGGAAGTCCAGGGTTCATTCGAGGCTCGTTTTCAAAAAACGACGATTTCTCGAGGATGCCCCAAGCGAGAGCGCGAATTTTGAGCAAAAAAGAGCGCGGCCAAAATGTTTGCGCGATGGAAGAGGAGCCGCATGGTCTGCGGGCGACAGCCCATCAAACAACTAGAACCCCACAATCAATGTGGTGAACAAAGCACGATCAGGTGGCCAGGGAGAGGCCTGAGGCTTGGAACCATAGTTGCTGAGATTTTTGGTCTGGGGATGAGGGTTTGGGATTTCTGTACTCCAGGGATGACGGCACAGGGTTTGCGACGGCATGCTAGCAATCCACATTCTGATTGGTGGGATACAGACATGTCAAGCGCCGTATCCGAAGCGCAACAAAGTAGGATGTACTTGAAACCAACAAAAACCCTAAAGCTCCCCGTCTGTTTGAAGAGGACGTCCTTTGTCAGTAGCCTTTGTCAGGTTTGCAAGCATCCAAATGTAGCACTCCTGGTAGCAGTGGGGCATGTGCTAGAAAAGATGGGCTTATCGATGTACTCTAAAAGCCATTGATGCCCTTATATGGTATAGGGTACCTTAAACAGACCTCAAAATGTTTTGGTAATTATTTAGGCCCCTGTATTTGCTTCACCCGCCATGGACTGCAACTACATTTAGAGTGGCATCGGTTGGTGACAGACTGGAACAAGGACGGATCTGGTTTTGCTTGGGCAGGACGTCCAAACAAGAATTGTCCGTCCCTTCCCTCCCCCAGAGAATGGCAGATCAGTTACTGTAGCAATGAGATGTCGCATCTGTTCCTTGGTTGTCGCGCGATGACAGTGCGGGCAGCTTAGTTTCGCCTTTCATGTTGATATAAGACAAGCAATCCGGGTGAGTTCCCATGCATGTCAAGCATTTGGCTCCGGCAGCAGTAGCAAAAGTGATCTGGCCTCGCACGTCAATGGAACGGCGGTGACAGGTCAAGTAATACTCGACTCCCGCAGCCGTAGCAAAAGTGATCTGGCAGCCCTGGCAAGCAAAGGGCCTCGCACGTCAATGGAATGGTGGCGTGCGACACCATGCAATCCTTTGCCCCAGACGGTTCGCGATGGTGTGATGCTGTCGGCACGGTTTACCAAAGAGGAGATATCTGTGATTTGCTGCCAGTTTTCCTACCTTGGAATACTGGTGCGGTGCACCGTATACTATAATCAGATTGGGATGTAGGCTACCAGCTGCACATGTTGAACAGCTGCGCCTAAAAACTCCCGACGTGTAACTGTCCATGTTATTATAGGCGCTTGCTTGCCCTGGAAGGACAGGATCAAGTACGTCCGGGCTGTGGAGGTTGAGCTCCAGAATCGTGGACTTCGGACGTACATGGTGAATACCGTCAAAGACTTCGGGACAGAGACGACCGACTATCTTTGTCGGGCGAGAGTTATGGTAGCCTTTTGCACCTCAACTTATGGCGAATTCACAACTGGCACCTACGAGACATACGCGGAGCTTAAGTACGCGTACGAACATCCTCAGGAGATAGGTCTCGTTCCAGTCAAGCTGATCAAGCATTGGCCACCCAAACCTGATGGGCCCGAGCAAGGAAGACACATGTGCGCAGTTGCGTTCGGACCAAGTCGCTTCTTTGTCGATGGCCTGGATCATGAAGGGTGTTACTTGGCCCCAGACGTGGTGGCTCGCAAAATTGTTAAGCACATTCACCGCCTCGGAGTGCTGGATCAGGTCAAGATGAAGCTGGGTTGCTGTTCAGGAATTGATCGAAATGTGTTACAAAGTGCGGAAAGCATGATATGTATGCCATATTTCACTTTATGGCCGTAAACCCTGAGCCCCAAAACCTTTTCGTTGCTTCAACAGCACTGCAGGAAAGGGTGTGCGGCTCCCAATCTCGACGTCCCATATGCCAACCCGAACCGTTTCCTCTGTCTGCACGGTGCTCAGACATGCTGGGTAGGGTGCAGGGTTTAGAGTTCTTGCCGTGATGTGGGGCTTACATCTTCAGGGGGGTTGGCATGAGATCTTGATGTAGTAAGGGCAAACAGAAGAGCGCAGGGCAACCCAGCATTGTCATTTCTATTACAATGACTTATGACTATTGCTACCGCTATTGCTGTTGCTCTTATGACTACTGTTGAGGGAACCTATTCTACAGTAATTTTGGGCTGGGGACCTTCGAAGTACCACCCGGCAGCAACTCCACTACAGATCCCCTAGAAGGATTCCCAACTTGAGATGCTCCCCAAAATCATGTGTTCAAAGCATGGGACGGAGAAATCCCCCCACGATGACCTCAACCCTAAACCCTAAACATCTGCTTTCTCTTCTGCGAAACGAGGATGCATGGTGGTCACGGACATTCCAGGGTGGCGTGCACTTGAAAACAGGTTTTAGGGCTTAGGGTTTCATAGCGTTCTGTGTTCTGATTCGGTAGTTTCCAAAAAGTAGGGAGACTCCAATAAAGACCCAAAAATAATATAGTCCTCATTATGGAGAACCCCCGCATGTTAAAGAGGAGACTTTGATCTTGGAGGGTGATTGTCTGGACGTTTTTGTTGAGATGCGGGATATGGTCTTCGAGCGCTAGGGGCTAGTATGCAGGACTGGGGTCATGCTACAGAGTGGTTTCGAGCGCATCGTGCTTTGCGACATACTGCCATGGCCTGACTGTGGTTGGCCAGCTAACTCATTCACCGCTGCCCCCACGCCATCCCAGGCGGCCAAACCACCTAGACCTAATCCTACTTCAGTTCAGGACCTAAACTCAGTTAGGTTTATCTTGGTCAACAAAGAAGGATCTCTGCAGCCAGCATTTTGTGGCTTCTACAATCAAGACTTTGACAGGCCACATGAGACTCATGAGACCTTCATTAAGCCAAAGCCTCGGGGGGTTGGGAAGCGCGCAAAATGGAAAAAACAAGCCGAGAACGAGAGACTTGGGCATTGATTCTATTAAGCGACCCGAGAGTCCCAGAACAGCACCTACTGTGGGGGTCTGTTGTTCCCATGCCTGGGGAAGGGCAGATGATCGTCTGGGTCGGCCAATGCATTTTCCCGCAATGGTAGTCCTTAACAGGAGTCCGGCACTGTGAATTAAGCAGCAGTCTCCTTGTCATGGATCATTGTTTTATCCTTTCCAAGCTATAGACCCTGCGCCTAAGTGCGCTGAGGCAGGATCAGCCATTGCCAGCAGCTGCTCCACAATTGGTGTGTCCACTGCACGTGGGTGAGTATGTTCGGCTCTGTCATTGTCATAGGCACAAGTAGTGCAGGCGCGGTCAGCCCGCTGTTTGGGTGTGAAGATCTTTGCGGCTGGCGCTCAACTTTTCATGTCTTGCCAGAGCCCAGGCAACAAACAACAGCAAGAAGTATGGGAAGTGACACAGCTGCAACATTGTCGGGCTTGGCAGACTTCTGCGTGATCTGGGGGTTTCCCAGATTTAGGGGTTCCTTTGAAGTGTTATGTAGCGGTTATGTAAGGATATATAGATTTACAGTGTTTGGGGTTTCCCAAAGTTAAGGGTACCTTCTTGGGGTTCCGCAGAACAAGGATCATAGTATTTTGGGGTCTATATAGGCGTCCCGCTGTTTAGGGAAGCTACATCTGAAGCTAAGGTGGATTTCTGCGCAAATACACGAGGCCTGGTCAACTCGCTGATTGGGGGAAGGTCATGTGATTTGCAGCTGTCCGTCACATTTGCATGTTTTGCCAGAGCTCAGGTAGGAGATGACTATGTGGTAGTACGATACGAACTTCCGGATGGCCAAGACTACGCGTTCAAGTATTTCCCTCGCGTGGAGTCTTTGCCGCACTCCCCTGTGAGTACCTCCAAGCTACATAGTTGCAGCACACCTCTCTGGGTTGCAGTTAAGGAACTTGAGTCTATTGTGTACTATATACCCATATTATGGTAATTTACACCCTAATTACACCCTAACCCGTGCGTAAATACCCACATTAGGGTAACTTAGTTCGTCATGATGACAGAGTATGAAAATTGTGTGAGCAGGCTTGAAGCCTGTCGTTGGAAATTGGTAAGCCCTAAACCCTAGACCCTAAATGAAATGTAGTAGTTTCCGTTTGCTTTTCCATTATCCCCATATAATCCCCATATATCCCTTATATAACCCCTACATGGTAGGATTTCAGAGCCATACCCATCACACGGCATCAAGGGATGCTGTGAGGGTGCCAGACATGTGCGGGAGAATCCGCATGATATCTTAGAGGCAAGCATGCAAAATGCAATGCTGTTGTCTGTTTGCATTCCAGGCTGCTTCCCCATAGGTGCAGCAAAAGGAGCGAATTGTCTATCTTCACGCGTGGTCCGCCAAGACCACCTGTCAGGTGTGTGTGTGTGTGTGTGCGTGTGTGTGTGTGCGCGCGTGTGTGTGTCTGTCTGTGTCTGTGTCTATGTCGGTCTGTGTCTGTCTGTCTGTGTGTGTATAGTTATCACCGCCGTACCTGATCCGCATGCTGACATTCTCGTCCTCAGCTGATCCAAATCTTAGTCCTGTTCATTCTCTTTTCCACCATTCCCATACTCATATTCCTGACCATCCTGATAATCCTCATCCTCAACGCCTCATTCTAACCATCATCATCACCATCACCATCATCACCACCACCACCACCATCATCATCATCTTATTGTCCAGTGCTGGCGGTTACCCACAATAGAGCTCACGCAGGATGCAGGCTTCACGCATCTCCTTGCACTCAGCCCTTGCAGCCCCAAGCAAACGCCAGGCATTGCAATACATGATCTGGCACATAAGCCCCAGCGATCTCCACCAACCTTGAAACATGAAATCCTCTTCTGGTTTGCTGTTCAGGAACTTAAATCAAGTTGCCACAATATGGGTATATGGCTATAGGGTTTCCTTGTGAAAGTGACCTAGTTTAAATTCCTTAACAGCAACCCAGTTTTTCGGACATCTTCAGCCGGAGACCACACCAAGTACAAGAACTCAACCTCAAACCCTCCAAAATCTCAAGCCCATGAGCCCTTCCGAGGACGTTGCACCCTGGTTTAACGTGTCTATGTTCCGTCTACAACTACCCAAGACGCAGCGGTGATTTTTGCCCTTCGCCTTGGAGGTGGACTTTCAGGCAGAGTTGGCGATTGTCATTGGACGCAAGGCCCTACAGCGACGTGTTGTTGTGGTGAGGACTCCTGTGTGGGAGGTGGTGAGGACTTGAGAGGATTGGTCTGTGACGGTTCAGATAGACACTGAACGCGCGCAGAGGATCAAGGTAGCGCATCGAGAGCTGGGCAATTAAGAGTCTAGTTAGTTGCAGGCTTGCGAAGTTTGGCAGAACAGAGTTTGTGTTGGGTCTTGAGGCTCACTGTTGGGGCGTGAGGGTTCTGATTCACAGTCATAGCCACACAGCTTCATTTGAGTATAAAACCGTGGAAGTTTCTCTAAATAGGGAGACCCAGTAAAGACCGCAAAATACTATAATCCCTGTTCTTGGGACCCCTAGAAAGGTACCCCGCCCATATTAGTATGGAAAGCTTTGACCAATGGAATGGGCGCACAAGCAGCACGGCTGTACGTCTAAGACAGTTTCCAGATGCTTAACGTTGGATCTGCTACAACTATGGCCAAGGTCGCAAATCCCCAATGGCGTTGCATTCATGTTTGAAGCGGCTCATGCTAAACAGATCCCTGTCTGGTCCGCTGAAGGGTTTTGAGGTGTTACGGTCTGGTCCGCTGAAGGGTTTGGAGGTGTCACAGTCTGGTCCGCTGAAGGGTTTGGAG